CCCACCCCCAGGTGGGCTGAGTTGGCCACACACACACACACACACACACACACTAAATAAATAAATGTTTAAAAAAAAAAAAAAAAAAAAAAAGGGGAGAGCACTTCTAGACTTCCATGATCACGGCAGCTTTACTCATCTACCCAAATTTTAAAAATCATTGTATCATGTGAAAGAAAGCTAGAACAACACACGGTGTACGCACAACAGACAATTCCAGGAAAGACAAATATACAGTGACAGAAAACCCACTGTTAACAGTCAAGAGTGGAGGGGTGCAAGGCTCTTTCAAAGAGCAGTCACTGGGATGTGGCACTGTAAAGCACTATATAGTGGCCCAAACACACCAAGCTGCACACAGAAGAGTAACTTCCAACACAGTTCATGAAGTCCATCTGCAGCATTCAACATAGTCCATTAAGACATACATAACCCAGGTGGTACCACATAGCACAGCATTTAGATTGCCTGTGGGTGCCAAAAAGTGTATCACTGCCAGCCACAATACATGACCCATAATACCCCGCAATCGGACTTCTAGATAGTGGCCCTACAAAAATGACAACACAGTTCCACAACAGGATTTGTAGAACATATTCACCAACCTAATTCCTAGGTGAGAAATAATCCGAATGTTCATCAGCAGGGGAAAGGTTATCCTGTGACACCTCCACACAAAAAGCCAAAGCAGACAACATGCGCTAAGTGCTCATACTTCCACACGTAACAGTAAGGAAGCCTACCTACAGTGACAAGAATCAGAAAGGAGAGGACGTGAAAACCTTCTGGGATGATGTAAGAGTTCTATATTTTATTTTGGGCAGTGGTTCCATGAGGAGAGATATCGCATAATACATTCATAAGGAATAATTCATCCAAATGCATATAATGTGCAAATGTCTGCAATGGGCTGAGGGCACACAGAGCCTTAGCCCCCAGCGTGCAGGTGTGGAGCTTGTGCTGACACTGGTCCAAACTTTTAAGAACTTAGGAGGACTCTGGGCTGGTGGCTGGGACTCTGGCAGGTTGGGATCAGTGCACTCAACACATGCAGGCTCAGAGCTTTCTTGGCACCAGATCCAACTTTTTAAAAACTTGGGAGGATTCTGAGTGGCAAATGGGATCCTGCTGAATCCGGCCCACAACCACCACTTACACTCAAGCTTTGTTGAGTATCTAGACAGTGGCCACACAAGTAGTGAGAGTCTTTCTGAGACCTACCCAGCTTCTCACTCTAGAGGAAACCTTCCTAGCCCCCACCCCACCACTCTCTCACCACTGCTAAATTGGTGTGATCTCTGGGAGCTTCAAAAATGCCAAAACAAAGGAGCAAAAGAATCTCAATCATCCAGCCCACTAGAACAAATCCAGGAGACAGGAACATGTAAGAACTTGGAAATCACAAACCTGAAATTTCTGAAATGACAGCAACTGAAGTAAAGAAAACAAGTTCATCAGACTATAAAAGAAGATCAGAAATAATCTAACAGGTTGCAGTGGTTGATACATTGTGTCAACGTGGCTAGATGGTCCCCCGAGACACAACTGGTTCCACCCTAGAACTCATGGACTCACCCTGGGGCGTGGATTGATTCCTCCCTAGAGCTGGACCAGGGCTCATCTTAGGGTGTGACTGGTTCCACCTAGGGCACAATGGGCCCGCCCCATAGTGACTCAGCCCAAAGAGACCATATAAAGAGGCTGAAGGAGTCAAGGTTCCACTTCGTTGGAGGAACTTCAGTCTTCACATTCGGCTTGGACTTCAACACCTGGCTTGCAGCGCAGACTCTTTGGCCTCCAGCTTGGATCCTTCACCTTCCGTCGCAGACTCTTCAGCGTCCATCCCAGGTTTCAGTCTTCTGTCACAGACCCATTAGCTTATGGAAAGAGACTTGCACAAGCACTGCAGTGAACTTCAGACCTTGGGACTGAACTCCTCAGTCTGGAGTGTACAGACACCCTCTGCATGCTTCCTCATCTGACTCCACAGCTAACTGTCCTAAGTCAATCTTGTAACACTGTATATCTTGTGTTAATATCTGTTCTTTGTATTATATCTGTTCCTCTAAGTAAAACCCTGACCAATACACAGGTCAAAATAAGAAATTACAATCGTGAAAGAAATGCTTGGCACAGAGCTGGGGAGATGGCTCAGTAGAATAAGTGCTTGTCTGTCAAGTGCAAGGGCCTGTGTTCAATCCCCAGTTCCACCAAAAAAAAAAAAAAAAAAAAAAAAAAAAAAAAAGCAGAAGAAATGCTTGGCACAGCTCAAGAAGTCATAGATTAAAAAAACAGAGAAGAGAAAAATGATGAAAACCCTGAATGAAATTGTCAAACAGAGAGCCAGGAGATTAAGAAACATACTGAAAGCTGGTAAAACCACTTGAATGAAACTGAAGATAGACTTTCAGACCTCGAAGACAGAGGTGTAATAAAAGTGAAATGAAAAATCTCTTAAAATTAAAAAGGAACCAAGAAATAACAATTCAGCAGCTATAAGACAACACAAAGAAAAATAATAATGTTAATGAAACAAGAGACAACACAAATGACATAAAGACTATTTACGACATTACTAGCAGAAGATTTTCCAACATTACAAAAAAATGCATCATACAAATAAGTGAGGCAGATAGAACTTGAAATAGCCACAATCAAAATAAGTCTACACTGACACACATATTAATCAAGCTCTCAGCGACTCAGCAAAAGAAGAGAATATTAAAAGCTGCTACAGAGAAAAGAACAGATGACCTACAATGGAAAGCCCAGGGGGAATCAAGGCAGATTTATCAACATAATCAAATGAAGAAGAGCTTAGAGTAAAATATCACAGGTCCTGAAACAATGTAGCTTTCAACCCAGATTGATGTACCCTGCAAAACTATTGATCAAAATTCAATGGGAAGATAAGATCCTTCCATGACAAAGATCTGAAGCAATTTATGAGCACTAAATCAATACTACAAAGAGTACTGATAGATATTCTAGAAAGATACAGAAACAATCACAGCTTCAAGAACTACAACAGTGAAGAACCACCAAACAGCATGTAATTAAGAAGGAAAAAACTATAAAACCTACAGCAGGAAAGTAACATGACAAAGATAAGCCAATATGTATCAGTTATAACCATCAATGCAAACCGCCTCAATTCACCAATTAAAAGAAACAGACTAGCAGAGTGGATTAAGAAACAGAATCAAACAGTATGCTGCATACAAGAAATACATTTGGGCTGGCCAGATGGCTCAGCAGATTAAAGCGCCTGCTTAGGCAGACACAAGGGCCAGGGGTTCCTTTGCCAGCTGCCAGCCCCGCCCCTGGGGCGTGCTGAGATGGTGACTGAGACTGGCATAGTGGCACGCACCCGTAATCCCAGCGCTTGGGAGGCTGAAAAACAGGAAGGATCACCACAAGTCAGATCTATGTAGTGAGATTTTGTAGTCCCTGTATTAAATACATTAAAAAGAAACAGATTTAACTCAAAAGGAAATTCAGACTGAAAGTTAAAGGATGGAAAACAATTCTCCATGCCAAAGGAAACCAGAAAAAAGCAGGGGTAGCTATCCCTGCCATTGCCAGCAATTATCCTGGTTGCCGACAATATCAACTTCAAACCAAAACTCATTCAGAGATAAAGAAGGTCACTTCATACTTAAGGGAAAACTGCAAGAGGAAACGATAACAATTATAAATATATATGCAGGGGTAGGCTATTTCTCAGTGCAGCTGTGGCTCAGGGCTCAGGGGACCTGGACCTTTTGTCTCGAGCGGCTGTGGGGAGGCCCCAGAATGACGAGGCTGGTGGCCTTCCCCAGCTAGCTCAGTCCCAGCCTCCTCTCCCTGGGGTGGGGGCTGCCCCCTGGGCTGGGCTTCGCCCTAGGTGTAGCCACCCCACCCTAAGTCCACATTGCCGGGTCAGGCCCAGCCAGCCAGGCCCAAAGGGAGG